AATGAGTAAATAAATAGCCTTGCTATTAAAAAAAGAAAAAAGGTTAAACTTTATAGAGTCTATCTGGCGGAACACCCGAATCTCACATCTTGGGTTAGAATTTTCTATCATAACCTGAGTCCTCAATCCAGTAAGAAGCTCAGGATGGTTATACCACTCTCCCCTTAATTTGGACAGTGAATTCGTAAACTGAGGAAGGTTGACAAATAAGTAGAAGTGAAGAAAAGAAGCAGAGATATATTTGTACAAGTCACAGTTATTCTGATATACTAACAAATGTTGCACTTACTATTTTTAATGTTTGAAAGAATAAAAAATAATCTACTTGATAAACTTAAAATATATTTACAACACTTAAAATTCTTAGAAAGATTATGCTTAGATCTAAATGTGATAGATTAAATCCATCATTGTAAATATAGTGTGGAAACCCCTAAGGAAATTTAATTAAGTGGTGTTAATATTTTTTAAGTCGTGTTAAATATTTTAAGATTAAACTCCCAGGACAAATCAAACACTAATCAAAATGTAGAAATAAATATACTGGTTTCTACATATTACTAGATTTATAAGATTTGTAAGTGAACTTAAAGGTTTAAGAAAAATGACTACTTACAATTCTAATAAACCAAATACTGATTTCAATACAAATAACTCTGAAGTGTTCTCCTTAACACAAAAGTTCTATTCAAACATGACCAAATAAAAAAATTAATGACAATAAACAATAAAATGATAGTCTACAATTTAAGAATCTTGATTTTTTTCTCTGCTTAAGGAAGAGACTGGCCTACAAAAAATGATCTATCATGTCACTCAATTACAAAGTATATCAAATCTCTCTCCCCTTTTCAAATACACCCCTCCTTTACAAACCTTTCCAATTCTCATGCCTAATTCTATACTTCTATTTCATTCTTCCACTTTCTTTACCACCTATAAATCATAAAAATCACATAAAAATTCACAAGCTCAACTGTTAATGCAGAGTTGGTATTGAGAGATAACTAGTTTCAATTTTCCTAAGAAAATACCAAAAGTATTCTTGCTTCCAAAGCACAAGATGGACTAATAGCATAGTCACAAGTCTACGATAAACTGCAGCTGTGTAGATAGTGATACTGGAATCACTTGAAAGGCTTTAAAAGAATAGTGATATTCAGTCCACCACAAAGATTTTGATTTAAGTGGTCTGGGGCACAGCCTGGGCAGATTTTATAAAGCTTTCCAGATGGTTCTGATCCAAGAATCAGAACTACTGAGAAAAAGGAATAAACAACATACAGAAACAAACATTATAAGGAATCAGACAAAACCAAAATGTGAATATTCTACAGAATAACTCAAGTCTCTTCAGTAAATCTACAGCACAGGGGGAAAAAAAAACTACACAAGACAGAAATATTTAAGATTACTTCAGTGTGATGCATGAACCCTGTATGAAGCCCAATTCAAGGCAAATATTGAAAAATATAGCAAACTGGTAATGAATTTATGATATGGAGACCGTTACACTGTTCTCATTTGTGTATATTTGAATGTGTCCCTGCTAAGTAGCTTCAAGTCTGACTCTTTCCGAACCATGAGGACCATAGCCTGCCAGGCTCCTCTGTCTGTGGGATTCTCCAGGCAAGAATACTGGAGCGGGCGGACATGCGCTCCTCCAGGGGACCTTCCTGACCCAGGGTTCAAACCCATACTGGCAGGAGGGTTCTTCACCACTAGTGCCACCTGGAATACTTCTTAAAAAATATTTTTAAAAAGAAAAAGAGTTTGGAGAACTAGAAGCTACTCACATACCCTGGACAAAAGAATAATTCTCTACACAGAAAGCTGTCTACCACTTAGTGCTGGGAAAGGAGGCAGAGGGAAGGGAAAGGAGGCAGAGGATCCTCACAAGACAAATCATCCAGGCAATGAGAAAACGTTATGTCACAGCCACATCACAGGGATACATCACAGAGCAAGATTCCGAATAATTTAAAGCAGAATTTTATTTTTACTTTTTTGGCCACACTGTGCAGTATATGAAGGATCTCAGTTGAAGCACAGAGTTTTAACCACTGGACCACCAGGGAAGTCCTTAAGGCAGAATTTTAAGTTTTAAGCAGTACTAACAGGAAAAGCCAAAAAATATATACATCTATTTTTAATGTAACTTTCCCAGTAGTTATAGCATCATGGTTATTTCAAAATGTAAACAATTTTATCCTCAGTAACATAGCTGCGCGTCTTATCAACAATGCTTTGATGGGGAGAGGCGGTGGGAGAGGGTTGGATTGGAAGTTTGGGGTTAGCAGATGCAAACTGGTACATATACAATGGATAAAAAAGTTTCTACTGTATAGCACAGGGAACTATCTATATTCTGCAATAAGCCATAATGGAAAAGAAAATGAAAAGGAATGTATATATGTGTGTAACCGAGTCACTTTGCCATACAGCAGTAATTAACACATTGTAATTCAACTATACTTCAATAATAAAGATTTTCAAAAATTGAGCTTTTCTAAAAAATAATTTATGCTTTTCTGCTTCATGGACACAGTTTGCACCTAGTAACAGGAGTAAAACATCCTTTAAATATTCCCTTAACGTTCAAAATGTCAAACTCAAGAAACCATTAAAAACTCTGCCATGATGAAGAATTTATACAACTCCCTTTCTTGAAAATAAGAATTCGCTTCAAAAAACTCTAGGAAGGGAAATATTAAAACTGGCAATTAAAACAGAATCTTTTGTTACATTCACCCAGCTTTAAGTGTCAATACTTAACTGTTCAGTATCTACTAAGCATACAGACTCACAAACACGGGAGAATAGACTTGTGGTTGCCAAAGAGGAGGTGGGAGTGGGGGAAGGACAGACCGGGAATTTGGGATTCACAGGAGCAAACTGTTATATCTAGGATAGATAAACAACAAGGTACTTCTGTACAGCACAGGGAACTATAGTTAATATCCTGTGACAAACCATAATGGAAAAGAATATGAAAATGAATGTAAGCATGTGTAACAATCACTTTGCTGTACAGCAGAAATTATCACAACACTGTAAATTATGTTCTAAATTAACTAGACTTCAACAAAGGTTTAAAAAAAACTTGTCATATAGATAACAAATCCTTCCATTTCTGTTCTTTTATATAATTTAAGAATGGTGATGTTATTCTACACTAACACCAACTTCTACTTGCAGTTGTTAGAACTGTGATAAAAGATCACTCAGCTCTTTTTCTCTCAGCTGTTTTGCATGTACAAGACGCTGAATATGCAACTAAAGAAAATCCTTTGTCCTAATACACAAGTCGGAAAAAAAATTTTCCTGAAAAATGTTTTATTTTACTAAGGACTAACAAGTGGCTCAAACCAAATCACATATTGTGAGAGGAACTAAAAAAGATGACAAAGTACAACGAAAAGAGAACTGTAATCCATGTTACTGGTGCTCTAGCAAAACAAACTACATCGTTAGGGCCTACATTCAGTTACATACAGCAAAGAGCAATACTAAAAATTCATCAAAGTAAGTTTCCTAAGGCATTCAACAAGTGTAGCACAGTTTAGCGCGGCAAAATTACTGGAGGAGTGGCAGAGTCTCACAGCAGCAAGATCTCTGCTGAGGGACAAGAAAAGAAAAATGTTCCGGGAAAGGAACATCTCTCCACCTTTCAGACACGGGTGCTTCTATTCCTAGGAACAAGTGGTTGGAGGATCTGGGAGGGGCAAATGGAGGAAGACCAATCAGAGGTCGAGTTACAAGTCGGGATCCGAAGAAACACAGATGAGAGCAGCTCGCTGACTGGCTGGCGCGCCCCCGGCTCTCACCAGACGCACCGCACCTGGGGACCCACCCCGCCACAAACCGCGGCACAGGGTCGCCCCCACCTACCCCCGCCGCCCCCGGGGCCGTTTCCTGCCCAAACAAACCAGCCACCCCAAAACAAAACAAAACCTACGGGGGGAAGTCCCTCCGTCCCCGTGGCTCCCCGGCCGCCTGCCCGCCCCCTCCGAGCGCCGCTCTGTCACTTCGCCCCTCCAGCGTGAGCCCCGAAAAGGGGGCGGGGGAGGGGGGCGGGCGCTGGGAAACATCGGGATGGAAATGTCAAAAGTCTCACCAATTCCTCGTAGCTCCTGTTGTGCTCGTTGCCCTCCCAGTCCAACCTCTTCGGCAGCAACTGCAAAGACCCGAGATGCACACGATTTGACCACCGCGCGGGGCTGGAGGGGTGTGGGGGTGGGAGGGCGGGGGGCGGCAGGGCAGGGGCGGGGGCGCCGGGGAGCCGATCGAGCGGCCCCCGGGCAGGGCCGGCGGGGGACGCCACCAAGCACAGACCTGGTACTGCTCCAGCTCCTGCACCAATACCTGCAGCCGAAGAGACACGCAGTTAGGGGGGCGGGGGCCGCACCCCGGTCCACCCGGCGCCCTCCTCCCGCGACCCCTGGCGGCGGCGGGGCCAGAGCTCCCGGAGCGCGGCCACCGCCCGCGGGCCCGCACTCACCTGGGCGGCTCTCCGACATGGGCCGGCCGATAGGTACCGGGCGATGAGGAAGTACAGCTCTGCGGGGAAACGGGGAGACCGGTCAGGAGACGGGGAGACCGTGGCGGCGGGGAAGGGGCCAGGGCCCGGGGCGCCGGGGGAGGGCGCGGGCGTCGCGCGTCTTACCCGACTCGATGAGAGGCACCGGGCGTCGGGCGGGCGAAGGCTCCGCCATGGCCGGGCGGGGGCCGGGGCGGGAGCAGGCGAGCAAAGCGTGTAGGCCGCGCCGAGGCCTGACCGGGCCGGCGTCCCTCTACCTCAGGCGCGCCGCCGCCGCTGCCGCCGCCATGCCGTGCGCGCCGCCAGCCCTGACGCCTCCGCGAAGTAGTGCCCCCGCGGGAGAAAAAGTAGTTCCTCCGTGGGAGCCACCTGCGACACGGGATGAACGACGTTTGGGCCCCGCCCGGAAGAGTGAGCCTCGCCTCCTTCTCTGGCTCAGGGGACGCAGAGAGGAGGCTGTATGCGCCAGGAGTCGGACCCCGGGGAGGCGGAGGGTGGGGGAGGGGAGCGCGCGTGGCTGGGATCCCTGCGCGCGGTGAAGCGGCGGCCGGCCATTGTGAGGCGGAGGCCGGGCTGTGCGACTGGCTTCGCGGCTGGGCTGGCGCCGGGGGCGGAGGTCGGGCGGGGGCAGCGGCGGGGGCTAGGGTGGGGGTGGGGACAGGTTCCCGCTTTTCCAGCTAGAACCGAGCCGCGAGACGCGGGGCCGCAGGGGCCCAGGAGGCGTGGCGGAGTCTCCGGCTTCGGGCTGTCAGAAGAACATCACAGACGGTCAACTGGGGCCAGTGCGTTTGACCCCCACGAAAGAACGCTGGCTTTGAAGACGCGAAACCCTTAAAACTGAAAATCGTGCCAGCTGCAAAGAGTAGAACAGCGGCCCGAGAAGCTTTGCCCGGAGACGGGAGGAGGAATGGGGGGAAGGGGGGCGGCCTCGGACACTAACCCTCTGCGGTTCGGAGGGTACTGCAAACATTACGGAGACTCCACGTTGCTAGAATGCAGTAGGAAGAAGAATCGTGAGACCCCGCCGCAGTTCTGGGAAAACCCGGAAGGGTGAAAGAAAACGCACTACATCGCAGAGGATGTCGACCTGGCTAGTTGGGAAAGGCAGTCCAGGCCGGCGATGACTTAGCCGGATAGGAAGCGGGGTGGGAGGAAGCGAGCCAAAGATACGCAGCGGCCCACTCCCTAAGACGACACTTGGGGGAGGGGGGAGCCATGCGTCCTTAAGATACTCTTGGAAGGCAGTAGTAGGATTTGAGCCTGGGGCAGCGGACGGGGGGGGGCGGGGATCCGGAAATTTTCCTTCAGGCTGTGCTAGGGTGCGGATTCATTCACTCCGCCTAGCCAAGGCCCTGTTGTGAACCCTAAAGAACAGCAGGAAGCAAAACACTGCTCTCAAGGAGTTGTTTATTCTGCAGTCGCTCAGTCGTGTCCGACTCTGCGACCCTATGGACTGCAGCAAACCAGACTCCCCTGTCCTTTGCTGTTTCCTCGAGTTTGCTCAGATGCATGCCCATTGAGTCCGTGATGCTGTCTAACCATCAAAGAGTGGACACTGAAAATTCCAGTTCCTACGGAGTAGAGTGACCTTCACAGCATGGAGAAGTTAGGGTAGTGGTTTAGAGCAGACCCTGGAATGGACTAACCCTGGTCCTTGCCGGGCTATTGAGTGTGTGACTTAAGTAAATCACAACCTCTGAGGCCAGTTTTCTTCACAAGTAAACTGCAGGTATTTGTCCCTACTTTATAGGGTTGTGAGGATATAATGGGTTAACCTGTGTTCTTAGCATGTAGCAGGCACCATATAGATGCCAGCATTTATTCATACCACGTGGCAAAAGTTTTTATACATGTTTGTGAGGGAATAGCCCGAACGTATTTGAGCAAGTGAGTCTTGTATCTGTTGATTCAGCAAACACTATCAAGTGATGGGGATAAAGATGAAGGAATAAGCTACAGCTTTGCCATCCCAGATTTCAGTGTCTGTTAGGAGAAAGGGTGCAAAGAATGACAGACTTAGGGCTGGGATAGAAGGGAGGTTAACCCACCTGTGGGAGGGGGAGAAAAGTCAAAGTGTTAGTCACTCGATTGTGTCCAACTCTTTGTGACCCCACGGACTGTAACTCACTAGGCTCCTCTGCCCTTGGAATTCTTCAGGTAAGAATACTGGGGTGGGTTGCCATTCCCTTCTCCACAGGATCCTCCCAACCCAGGGACTGATCCCAGGTCTCCTGCATTGTACCCAGATTCTTTACCCTCTGAGCCACCAGGACGGGGAGGTTTTAGAAGAGTCTTAAGTGTGGGAAGGGCCAAGAGTGAATAACATTCCAAGTTTAGGAACTCAAGTTTAGTAAAACTGCTTGAGGTGAGTTTGGAGGTGGAATGGGACTCATTAAATCAAAGTTAAAATTAGGGGAGGAGGAGTTGAAACTGGGAGCAAGTGAAGGGTTCTAATGGAGAAAGGATTCTTTTTCATCTAGGATAGATTTGAGAGTGTTAACACAGGAAACCACTTAGACCCCTAAAATAGGAAACAGTCATTATAAGGATAGAGAGAAAGAGATGGCTTCAGAAATACCTAAGAGGTTCAGTCATAAGATGAGGTTGAAGTGGAATGAGAAGAAACTTCATAAAAATCTCAAGTTTGAGGCTTAGTAGGGTCAAGGTTATGCCACCACCTGAGGTAGGGCACACAGGCGGTAGCTAAATTGTTAAGATGGATAACTACTCGAAACAGTGTGATTATTTGAACTTACAGTGCATATATCCCTGTAGGACAGTATGCTCTGATGCTCCAGGATAACCAAAGTTAGCAAATAACAAAAACATGAAAAGAGAATCTCACCTTTCAGAGATGGCCAGGCAGTTGCATATTTTATTTTGTAGCAGTCTCATAAAAGTAAAAGATAGCCCCCAAAACATGTTACAAGAATTTATATCCCTAACACTGGTCACTGTCCAAAACTGCAGTTCTGGTGTGGGCAACTTGGTAACCCTTATAAGAGGTCAGAAGAGATGGCAGGAGTTTGCCTTTGCACAAGCCCTACTGGTTCCTTTACAGCTCACTCTGAAGTCTGTGACAAACACCATTCCTAGATTTTGAAGGAGAAATGCAAGATTGCTGACAGGAGGCAGAATATCTTCCCGCCTCCAGCTCTCAAGTGACAAGAGACCCAGATTTGACTCCCACTTATGCCAGCGAAGTGGAGGAAAGGGGGAAATACTATCCATCAGCAACTCCATAGTAGGGACTTGCTGGAAATGGTCTCCAAAAAAGGCATGAATCATGTCTGTCTCTCACACAACTAAATCCACACCATTTCAAATGTACACACTAAAGTTTGCTTTGGGGGTAAATGGAAAGAACTGAATGTCAAAGTAGTCGAAGGAAAGCAATTATTGAAGAAGTGCTTGGTAAGCAAGGGTTGGAAGATCTCAATGGCTGGTGACATCAGCTGTAATGCTGTTACCCATCTCCACTAAAAGGAAACTACTACAACATTTTAGTCCTTGGATGTTTTAGTCCTTCTGAATAAGCATCACTGGTCTTCACAAAGGTCAGGTGCTACTGGTACTCTCACTTCACAGTGACCTCAGCTGAGAAAACTGAGGCCCAGAGACACTGAGGAGGGCCCAAGGGCACATAGCTGCAAGCCTGGTGGGACAGTACTACCTTAGACAAAGCACAGGCCCCTGCAAGATGCTTTCTACCCTGGCTGCATTGCATGAAGGAGGAAGCCAGGGCCAGAGAGCTTGTATAAAAGCACATAGCTAGTAGGTAAGAGCTGAAACTTGAACATGCATGATACGTGCCTGATCTCACCACAGTCAAGTCTGAGCCAGACTCTGTTGTTCTTGTTTTAAGGATGAGGAAACCTAGGCTTAGAAAGTTTAAGAGTTTGCCTCAAGGGGCTTCCCTAGTGATCCAGTAGTTAAGATCCCTAGTTGGGGGATGGGGGTACTAAGATCCCATATGCCATGCGGTGTGGCCAAAAGATTAAAAGAACTTTAAAAAGAACTAATTTGTCTTAAGAAATAAAATGTGATGGGGCCTTCCAAGTCACCGCTCAGGAGCCACAAAGGCATGAAGTGTGAAAAGCACATCTGGAATATGGTGAGCAAAGCAGCCTGTTTCCAACACCTCCCATAGGAGAGTGGTCCAAAATGAGGGTCAGAGTAGATTGCAGGCACTTTTAAAAGAGTAAAAAGGAGGTCAGTCTGTGACCAGTGGAGATTATGCAAAGAAAATTATTTACATTCTAATTCTAATTTCAGTGTGTTAATGCAAATATCTGTGGTTAACTGAATTTAGTTTCAGCTTGTTTTAGTCGCTCTGTTGTGTCCGACTTTTTGCGATCCCGTGGACTGTAGCCTGCCAGGCTCTTCTCTCTATCCATGAGATTTCCCAGGCAAGAATACTGGAGTGGGTTGGCATTTCCTTCTCCAGGGGATCTTTCTGATCCAGGGATTGAACTGTCATCTCCAACATTGGCAGGCAGATTCTTTACCACTGAGCCACCTGGGAAGCCTTTCGTTTCAACTAGCGGGAACCAATACTGCGGGAACCGTGTCAGCATAGTTCTGAGGGATGTTAAAGAGAGTAGAGGACACTGGACCTATGGAAGAACAATACCACAAAACTGCATCAGTACATGGAAGTGAATTCAGGTGCACCCAAAACCCGGCATCATTTCATTCATTCAACAAAAGTCGAATTTCCCTAAGGCAGGCCACATAGGGTAAACACTGACTCCTGGGTTTCTGTAAGATAACTTCCCCAGAAGTAGAAGAGTTAACATCTTGATAGATTTCCAGGGAACTTTGAAAGAAAAAAAAAAAAGTAACTTTGGGATCAGGCCCTAGTCATTAGCAGACCTTGCATCTAATTCCCAAGGCCCCTCCTCCACCTCGGGGCAGTGTCGCCTTTCTCTCAGGACCTCTTCCCTCTTAGTCTAGCCCAACCAGCTGTCCCCCGAATGCATCCAGTCCCTGCCTCCCTCAGCAGATTGTTTCCACATATATATCTTCCCTTTCAGTTCTGCCTCTCCCTCATCGTTGGCTTCTGTCCCTCATGTTCCCACACTGCAGGCACTGGCCCGTGTCCATCTCCAAGACATACCAGTTCTTCCTTTGAAGTGTCTCTCAGGGCACTGCGGAAAACAGGTTGGGCATGACCTTGGGAACATGGGAGCCAGCATCAGAATGTCCCTGTGGTTGAACACGGCTTACAAGTTGAGCAACCTCTCTGTGGCTCAGCATTTGTTTTTGATTTTTTAATCATCTTTATGATGGGGTGCCAGCTAATTGATCGCACATGTTGAATATTTCTGTCTTCTGGGCACTGTGCTAAACCATTGACTGTACCATTTACACTCACGTGATAATTGACACTACTTACGACTGCTGCCGGATGCCTGCAGAGCTCTCTGAGCAATGCCTCTCAATAAGATGCTATCACATAAAAATGAGTATTTGCTCCATTCCCTCGATCACCGAAGAGGCTCTTCTTTGACTCCCCTCCCACTTTCCCGAAGCACAACTCTGCATATTCTCTATTCAAGCCTTTCTTGACCCCTATCACCTAAAGTTAAACTCCTGGCAGGTTCTGAGAGCTGGGTGGGCTGCCTGGTGCTCTACCCTCTCCCTCCCCGCCCCACCGCACCCCCTGCATCCGCAGGCGAGCTGACTGCATGCACTAACAGTAAAGGGCTCTCTTGCCCTCCGGCTTCATTCAGTAGAAGGCCCCCGAGGGAGGTAGGAGAGGTGGGTTTCTATCTTCCCAGCTACCTTCCTGCCAGGCCATAGGTTGGTGGCAGCTGCTGTTCCTCAATTGGA